TTACATGTGTGGTGTATGATGGAGGGCGTCGTGACGTGACCACATACTACTAAAACACCGGTAGGATGGTTACTGGGTTACTAAGAATCCCTTGCTGTGTGGTCTAGTGTATGAGCCACCACTGGACAAGCACTGGGTTGACTACAAATAATATCTCAAAGGTAATTTAATGAAGTGAATCCACGCTGAAGCCGTTCATGAGCCGCGCCTCACTGCTGTGTTACGGGCGACCTAACCTAACCATCTCTCTATCATGTACAAAATAAGAAACAGGATAAAGTTATGTGAGTGTTTGTTTTGGTTGGGTGAGGCATTTTCTCTCGCTTTCCACTTGGCCGAGACTCTCACTCTGATATCCCTCTCTTGCTTGAGGTGTGTGTCCGTTGATGCACACCACCCCACAACAGGTAGTGAAGGTCATCGTGTGTTCTTACCTCAACCTACGAACATCACCAAAAGCTTCCGTATACCACACACAACTCGGCAGCTTCATGCACTAACAAGCCGCCAAGTTTTGTCCAGTCCGCTGCGTCTTTGTGAATTTATGTATTTAATTTACGTTTACTGTATACATGTATTATTATTATATTGTATTCTATGTATGTATATATTATTGTTTGTATGTTGTATTGGAATTATGAATAGGTGTATATTACTCATGTTATTATTATCGGATTTATTAATTTATACACTTTCACCCACACACTTGTTTATTTATTTCTCCAGGTCCTGAGGCTGTTGGGGGGAGGGGGGTATAGCAATCATTACGATCTATCTTTAATCGAAAGTTTTGTCTGTCATTATTAATATATAAATTTAATTCTTCCATCCATTTTCAAAGCAATTTCACGCCATTTAGAACAGGTGATGTAGACTTTGTAGAGGAATGTGTGATTTGTGGCATGGTGGCTTCCCTTCCTCCGATGCTTGTTAGTTAGGTGAGTGCTAGGTGTTAAATTTTTCAGTTGTGTGTGTGCAGTATCGCCACATTATCGTACATGGGCAGCAAGTTACTTTTATGGTCAGTACAATGTGTGTGGGAGATGGCGCATCACACCCAGAGGCAGGGCAGGTTAGGTTAGGTTAGGTTAGGTTAGGTTAGGTTAGGTTAGGTTAGGTTAGGTTAGGTTAGGTTAGGTTAGGTTTGGTTAGGTTAGGTTAGGTTAGGTTAGGTTAGGTTTGGTTTGGTTTGGTTTGGTTTGGTTAGGTTTGGTTATATTAGATTAAATTTGGTTGGGTTTCGTTGGTTAGTGTTGGGATCTAGATTAGGTTAACGTTAGGGTGATTAATCTTCAGGTAAAATAAACTGGGGATGAGCCAATCTTGAGATGATTTGGGAAAAAACAAATTATATTGTGAATCTCGCTTGGCTCTGTACACCGGTTATCATGGTTATGTCCATTGGCCAAGATGTGTGATGGCGCGGAAAATGTTTTTAGAAAAGGTTGAAATTTGATGGGGATTACGAAAGTGTGGGAATGACTAAGAGAGAGTGACAGGTTGATGAAGACAGATGGGGGTAGATATACAATAGATTAGACGGATAGAGACAGAAAGACAGACACACTGAGAGAAAAGGGGGAATTTAGTTGGTGTCGTGGATTCCATTGGCTGCTGTTCTAACCCAAGGGAATCTTTTTCCTTTAACACACTAAGTCGTATCCATCATAGCGGTACAGTAAATAGAAATTCCCACCATGATAATCAGGTATATATAATTGTTTTGTTTATTATTACTTTGTGGTACTTGGTCTGACTTGGGTACTGTAACCAGTTTATCCGAGTTAACCAACCTGAACTACAGTAGGTAACCCGTTTAATTAAATGTGATAAATTTCTTTTATTTTTGTTAGACTCGTCAAATTTTTTTAATATAATTTTTAAATGCAAAATAACATGTTTAGAGTTTCAATGTTTGTATGATGTTGTTTTAAGAAATGTGTGTGTGTGTGTGTGGGGGTAAACTATGAAGAAGGTAACAAGAGCCTACCGCGGGCCTCAGGAGTAGTGAGAACACAAACGTTCCCTCATTGGTTTAGGCTATGGTTGACTTGGCTAGGTCAAGTCTAGTCAAGTCAGGTTAGAGTAGATTAGATAAAATCCGGATAATTTAGGTTAGTTTTGGTTACAGGAGTTAAGCTTGGGTTTAATGAATTAATTTTTTAATTTGGGTTAGGTTAGGTTCAGTTCTTTTGGGTAGGGTTTAACTTTATTCAGGTTTAGGTTTAAATTAGGGTACTTTTGAGTTAGGTCAGGCCAGGTGACGCTATTTCCACCACATCCTAAATACTTATTGCTTTCCCCCCTCGTATTTCGATCTCAAAGTGGAGCCAATTGGTTTATTTTATCTTTATTCGTGTGTGTTAATTGTGTTGTACGGCAGTCATCCTCAGCCTTTGTATCAACGAGAAATACTTTATTTTCTGTTAGTGAGAATTAATTTAGTCACCGTTGAAGACACTCCCATGGCTTCGTTTTCTTTAACCACTTAAAAAAAAAAAACACCACCACTACCACCACCACTTGTACGTGTTATCAGCTTGCGAATCAGTACCATGGCGACACCTAGATTAATTTTACAACCGCAATTGACACCAAAAACCTATCACAACCAGACCTACCATCACCGCCATGTTTGGTTGCAAAATCCTCAAACCTGTTCTCGATATATTATGTAATTGTACGCTAGGTTAAAATTGCAGTGTAAAGGAATAACTGAATTGCAAAAGCTAATTCTGCCACACGAGACGCTCCAGTGTGGTGAGGTTAGGAGACGTGAGTTACTTTGTTTATAAGGTAGAGTGTGTTTTTTGTTGTCTGGGTGATATATATTGGCCTTTTGTTTCATTGGTTGTATTATATAGAGCGTGGAAGACCATGTATTTTGGTGTGTGTGTGTGTGTGTGTGTGTGTGTGTGTGTGTGTGTGTGTGTGTGTGTGTGTGTGTGTGTGTGTGTGTGTGTGTGTGTGTGTGTGTGTGTGTGTGTGTGTGTGTGTGTTTTGAATATCCTGGTAATTCCACGTCTTGTACCCGAATTACCTTGTACTTCTTTACCTCCTGTCATGACTTACTTCCCTTTCCCCCACATTCTTGACCCCTCTCCCCCCCCTCCCCACATTCTTGACCCCTCTCCCCCCCACATTCTTGACCTCCTTCCTTCCCCACCATTATTGACCTCCTCTTGCTTCTCCTTCATAACCTCTCCCTCCTGCCTTATAAACCCTCCTGCCCTCCTTCAAGAGCAACTTCTTTTCCCACTATAACCAGTTTCTTCCCCCCTCCTTGGCTTAGTTTAAGGAGGGAGGTAAGGGAACAGAGTGAGAGACGCTATAGATGGCTGAGATGTGGTGGGGAGGGGGGGGGGGCGGCAGATGGTGAGCGATAGACCATCACCACACACTACCACTATCACCACTCTCCCACTACAACCATCACCACTCTCTCCCACTACAATCATCACCACTCTCTCCCACTACACTCATCCCCGCTACCACCATCATCACCACACTCCTCCCCACTATCACCACCACCGCCTACATAATTACCATAGTAGCACCATCTGCTGCACCAATGAGCACCCCACCATTACTACCAATACATTACCATTATAGAACTAAACTTATTATTTGTTGTTATTATTATTATTATTATTATTATTATTATTATTATTATTATTATTAGTAGTAGTAGTAGTAGTAGTAGTAGTAATAATAGTGCAGTTAGTCAAATTACCCCTGTGTGTGTTGTTATTGTTGTGTTTACAGTGTAGCTCAGCCGATCAGTCAAGAGAGGGAAGGGTGTGTAATGTTGGTAGTGTTGTGTATAGTGTATTCAAGCCGCTCAGTCAAGAGAAGGTGTGTGTTATACTGTTGGCGTTGTGTACAGTGTAACCCAGGCAGCTCAGTCAAGTGTTAGGAAGTGTAATGATGTTGTTTATAGTGTAGCCCATTCGCTTAGTCTATTGTATAGGGGGTGACTACCAGAGATGGGTGTTGTGATGGTATTCTCAGGGGTCCCATTGGTTGGTGGCTGTGAGGATAAGAGGGGAGGGGGGTGGTAGAGGGAAGGGGAGAAGAGGGGCGCGGTGGGGTGGGTAACAAGGCAAGGTACCCAATAATAGGTAGGTAGTTGGTGTGTGGTAGCGGGGCATGGTGTGTGGTAGCGGGGCATGGTGTGTGGTAGCGGGGCATGGTGTGTGGTAGCGGGGCATGGTGTGTGGTAGCGGGGCATGGTTGTGTGGTAGTAGGGCATGGTGTGTGGTAGTAGGGCATGGTGGTAGCGGCACACATACCCCATTAGCATGTGGTCATGAGCAAGGTGTCTGCTTCTCCCTCCTCACTCGCCTGACTTCCAGCGTCGTGTATTATTATAATCTTTCTCCTCCCTGTGTCAGCTTTCACCTTCACTCAAACCTCCTTTAATGGCTTCTTTCATACGTTGTCAGGTGAGTGAGTATACAGGTGAGTTATCGAGCGAGTTGAGTGAATGAAAGGATGAGTTGAGTGAGTTGGCATCCCTTACTAAGAACATCCTATACTGTACCTGAGCTTTAAAGGGGGGGGGTGTGTGTGTGTGCGCGCGCGCGCGTGCGTGTTTTTTTTTTTAGACGATTTGATTAGTACGTGTGTGGGGAAGGTGTATTTATTTAGTAGGTGTAGAGTGTAATGTTGGAAGAAATGCTAGAAGGTGTAGACTGTAGGTGTGTATGGTGGGTGTAGTGTATACTTGTTTGTTTGGCGGAGCTATAAACTGTAGGCTGTGTTTTGATCATCTCGCCATCACACTCAAAAGTGTTTGTTTGTTAAATGGCATGAAAAGTATTTAATGTGGTTCTTATGGCGTGTGTAGGTAGGTGTGGTGGGTGCGGAGGTAAGGTGGGTGGGGTGGCGTGAAGGTACACAGCTCAGTATGAGGGTGGCCACCGTGGCGCGCGTTTCCCCTCCCGCCGCTGCCTCTCCCAGTTGCCTCACGGTGTGCTCTCTTTAACATGAACACTTGTAAATAGTCAGCAGCTGGAGGAGTGCGTGTAAATACTAGTCTGTGTCTGTGATAACTGTACAGTCCGATGTACCATAACTTTTTAAGCCGTTTGGATACCTCTATAACCTGCAGGGAAGAGTTTACATATACTGTATGGTCGTGTCTTGTGTAAAGTGTGTGCCTCAATCTCGGCAACTTGAGAGGTTATATTGATGATACTTATAACTTGGTGAGAGTCCCCCATTGTGAGTGATGTGCTGTCTGTGTAAATCATGACACGAAACACGGCAGTCGGTGCTGCATGTGTACTTAACCTGTTGACACTGAGTGCATGAGGATGCGGGACTTCTTGAGGAAGAGTCCCTTGAGAGTGAGCGCGGGGTCATCCTCAGGCGGGCTGAAGATACCGTCGCGCCCCCCGGCGGTGGAGCACACCAGTAAGGGTAAAGATGGGTCGGGGGTGAGCAAGTTTACGTCGGTTATGAAGATGCGGACCTTCCGGGGTAGCGTGAGGAAGAAGGTGGCCGAGCTGGAAGCTCATTCCTCCCTGAAGGTAAATACGAAGGAAAGTCGTCCCCACCAGGATGATAGCAACAAGGCCAGCACCGCCAGTCCTCCTCAACCCGAGAGAGTCACAGGGAACAGTCCTACGGTGGCCCCGCTGCCCACACACTACGAGGAGGCTGACGGTGATGACCAGGACGGAGGGGAAGGTAAGGTCTACCAACCCTCGCACCCGTCGCCTCAAGTGGGGGAGGCGGATGGGAAAGCTGAGGAAGCCAGTAAGGACGAGGAACACACGGAGTCCGAGGCGGAGAGTGTGTACGAGTCCCGCAAGCTGATGTTGAGGCGGGTAGTGCAAAATGAGGCTCAGGAGGTCAAGCAAGGTTACACCTCCAATGACCTCTCAGACGCTGACTCCTGGGCCGACCTTGAGGAGAACTTCGCCAAGATTTACGAACCCATCCCCTTTCGGGTTCGCAAGGAGGCCTGGCACAACATGAACAAGGATGAGCTGCTCTACAATATCAACAGCCAAAGAATGAGGTCACACCTGAAGTACATGAGCAGGAAGGAGATTCTCCAAGAGATTGATAACGTGCGAGAGCATCCGGTTCACTTCGCACAGAACTACGGTGAACCCAAGAGCTCGGGCAAGAAGGTGCCAACTGGCCAGTGTCAACTGACCACCTCCCCGCGTCAGCATCAGGTGGTGGTCGAGGTTCACCAGCCACAAAACCCAGAATACCAGAGTGACACTGACAGTGAGTTTGGGGAGACAGATTACGTGACCCGGTCGGAACTGTACCGCAACATCCAGAATCTACAGAACTCTTTGGCCAGACACAACAGCTTGCTGGTGGAGGAAGACAGTCAGTCGTGGAAGTCGTTGCCCAGCCAACCCGACGACCCTGTTTACATATCCCGTTCAGAGATCTTGTCCAAAGTTGACCCGACCTACGGCTCGAGGCCTGAGGTCGCCAGGCCTCGGGAGATGATGCATAAGGGTGGCAAGGGGAACGCCTATTTGTCTCGCTCTGAGATACTGACACGTCTGAAAGAGATGCGGGAGAGTGAAGATGAGCGCGGCCTCTCGCCCACCAACACCGCCGACTCCAATTGGGACTTGTGTTCTTGTGTCTCTTGTGAGCAGTGCGGCGCCGACAACAGCTCGAGCTCTGAGGCCGAGTGCCAGTGTGGCGCCAAGCAAGCCAGAGGCAAGAGACATGAAGAGCCCACTAGTCCCCACAGGCTCCCCTCGCCCGGGGACCGATCTCTTCTCTCCCAAGATTCCTGGTCCAACGGAGAGTTCGAGAAAATATATGAGCCTCTGAACGGCCCTGCAATAGCGCAGCGACGCGACTTCCTCGTCAATCGCACTTTAGAAGAACAAGAGAAACGCCTCCGGACACTGGCTCAAGTGGAGGAGTATCATTCTGCTGGTGGTAAAAGTAAATATCTTCCAATCGATGTGTGGAGCCTGAGCGAGAGTGAAGACGTGTACGAGTCTCTGGCACGTGTGGCTCGCGTGTCTTTACGGGGTGGAATCACCACCACACTGACCCCGATCACTAAAAAACGCAAAAAAATTGGAGAGGGTGTTAGTGGTGGTGACCCGGAACTACAGCGACGCGTGCGGGAGATCATAGATGGTCAGAAGCAGATCAACACTACCACCAGGAACAAGGTGATGCAAGCCATCACTGAACACATACATCACCACCTTGATCTTGACGACTTTGAAGATGAGGAAGAGAGGAATCATGAGATAAGAGTGCGGCTGAAGGAGGCATTGGCGCAGGACTGGGAGACCCTCAGCAACATCAACCTGGGTCACATTTACGTCCCGATGGAGGAGAGTTCCAAAAGCTCTAAGTTAGGGAGCAGAGAAAACACTGACTATGACACTTTTGGCAGCATCGATTCACTCATTTTCGAGCCAAAGGTTTCGGCCATCACGGAGGTGTCAGATGAGGTGACCGTGTCTAGTGTATTGAGCAACAGCATCAGCACCGACAGCCTCCTGGACAAAGCTCTCGAGCAAACACACGACACAGGTGACCCTGCAACTAATGCCATGAAGTTGCTAGATGATGCACTGCAACAAGAAGAAAGGAAGGAGCAAAATCTTAAAGAGGAGGAGGAGAAGGAAGAAGAAGAAACTCCAGTTCCTACACCAACTCCCTCTACACCAGTAGCAGAGAGTGAGCAGGAACTACCCATCTACGACACAGACGATGACCCCCAGCCTCAGGAACACCAAATTCAAGATATCCAAAGCATCTCTAGGGACAACCCCCTCAACATGAAGGAACATCCGTGGCCTTGGAGTGTGAGCAGCCAGGACCACCGTGGAGGCTCCCAGTCCGTCAAAGACCACGTCAAGTTGCCCCTCAAGCAGAAGATATACAACGGCCTGATGGGGTTGGGGTTTTTAAGGTTTGGCTCCAAGGAAAACATAAAATCACCTGTTCTTGCCAACGACCGAGGCAAACACACAAATTTCGAGGTTTCTGGCACAGACACCCCGACATCGGAGGAGTCACACAAGTTGCCTGTGATGATGAAACTCCAACGAGAACAGTCTCGGAAGGACCATCACGGATACGAGTCATTCAAGATGGATTTTCAGCGGCTGTCCGGCAAGAGGTTGCCCAGCGAAGAGGATTCAACCTACGACTACCACCCAGACCACAACGAACCTCTGTACCACGGCGGCACCACCACCAGCCACGATACAGCCGACTCCGAGACGGACAGCGTGACCAGTCTGGAGAGCGTCATCTTCAAGGGCAACCTCGCGGAGAAACCCGGCGCCACCGACCACGAGGACAAGAAAAAGAAGAAAAATTTATTTCGACACAAGTATGTCGTAAACCAAGATAACGAGTCCGATACGAGTGAACTGATTGAGAACAAGTCGATGAGTCTAAGTACTCAGCCTTACCTGGACTCTGACACCTCGTGGGATTACATGGAGGCGGTGGACGAGGAGAAGGCAGCCATGCAAAGGTACGCGGCTGTTATGGAGGCACAGGCCGAGAGGACCTCGGTGACTCCCGGCCCTCGAGTGGTGGGCAACATGCGCAGAAAACACATATACCAAGGTGTAAACAACATCGAGCGCTCACAAGCAACTGTGTCTCCTGAAGGGGGGAAGTCACCTCTCCCGACAACTTCTGAGGAAACTTTGCCAAATGTGGAGGACATCGGTGACCGTACCTCCACACCCTCCTCACCCACCTGCCAGATGGGTCATACGCGAGCAATCAGTATCACTGATTACACTGACGAAGAGACGGATGGTCGGCGGCTATTTCGAGCCTTCCAACGGCGCCAGTTTCGACCCCCGAGTGACTCTGAGCGGCACGACGGTGGTGGCAGCACCAGTACCGCCACACACGACTACCAAGAGACGGAGGAGGACGTGTATGAGGTGTGTAACTCTGGAGGGAGTCCTGTGCAGCATAGCCAAGGTAACTCGCCGGTCGTACTGTTGAAGCACCACGTGTACCAGAGCATCGAGTCCCTCGCCTCCCGCCTCTCCTCCACACGCTCCATCAAGACGCCCGCCACGGAGGAAACTCTGGATGACGGCGAGCTGCAGTTCTACGGCTCACGTCACGGAGAGCCTATCTATGGTGTCCGCAACTCCCGCCTCTTCCACTCGATGAACGGGGCCTTCGTTAGCCGAAACAGGAGCGAGGGCGTAGTTGACCCGCCGGTCATTATACGCAAGGGCAGGGCCGTGGAACTGACGGAAGAAATGTTTAGAGGAACGCTCGACCGTAAACTGTCAGCTCAAGATTTGGAGGATAACCATCAGAACATGACCTTCCACACCACCCTCCTGCCATCCTCCCTTCATCAGGAGGATCGTCTCTACTTCCATAACACCGTCTCTTCTACAGAGTCACGGGAGGTCCACTCATATGAGAATGACAGCGAGATCTATGGCACACGCCAAGAAATTCGCGAGGAAATTCTCCAGGCTTCCCGTGAACAGCTTGATGTTGAAAATCTGGAGGAAGATTTGGTTAAAAATTCGTCCTCAGTGGCTGCCACAACACCTTCGGGGGAGGACGAGGAGGCCAAGGATGGGACGTCGACGGCCAAGATCAAGAGGGTGCAAAAACTGGGGGTGTCCATCTTGGGCAACAACAACGACATGATGATCCGTGAACTGAAGCTCAAATTGAGACGCAGGTTTAACCCAGATGATGACAGCGGTGGCGAGGAAGAGGAGGCCGCCGAGAAGCCTCTAGTGAATCCTCAAACCTCCGACAAGGGACCTCTAACAACCACTATCTCGACCGACTCCATCAACTCGGTGGCACTGAAGAGGGAGCAGCTAGCCCCTCACATGAGCAAGATATTTGGCTCGCTGTACGAGAGGCGGCGTCAAAACATTGAGACTGGGGTAAGTAGCAAAGAGGAGATCATATGTACAGAAGGTGAATCTGAAGGACATGGACCAACAAAGTCAGACATCAAGAAAGACACTAAGGAGGAAAAACAGGAAAAGAACGAGAAAGAGAAGGATAGGGAGATGATTACGGTACAAAGGGCTGACGGGGGCGTGGAACAATTATATTTGCCCACGCCAGACTACACGCCATTCTCCACGCTACCGAGAGAGGACAGTAACCGCGCCATTCTGGCTTTTGACGATCTCATGGATCACCAACTGGCCCAGGATGAAGACTACAGTTTTGACCTGGCCGACCTGGCCAAGTTTGTCCACGAGCACATCTCCAGGAACAAGAGCCTCTACTCGGATCCCGGCGGCATCGACGCCTCTCTCACACCTGTTGCCCAGGTGAGTGCCTCTCTCTCGCCCACCCCTATCAAAGACCCCAACACTCCTAGCGGTGATGGTGGCTACCCCAAACGTTCTGTGCGCTTTGACATGAGTAAAAAACTAGTAGACTTGGGCGCTACGTGGTCTGACCTAGAGAGCGTCATATTCGCTGAGGATAAAGCCGGGTCAGAGTACTTAGAAAAGCAAGGCGACTGTGGGGAGTACGTGGGCAGTGTTTTGTCGAACGGCAAACTGCCCATCTCTCGCATGGAGTCCTACAGAGACAGTGACTGGCTCTTGTGGGAGCAGCTGGCCAAGATGCGGCGCAGTAAGGCCCCGGAGGACCGTGAACGCTGGCAGCTGGAGAAGACCAAACGGATGCTGCTCTGGATACACCTCTCCAATAACAACGTTTACACGGAGTGGTGCTACAGGAGCCAGTGGTGGAAGGTGAGCATCTGCACCCAACACCTGGTCTACAACACCTTCTGCACCTACAGTAGGAAGTGGGCGTTTGGTGAATTTGCCTTTCCAGCTGGGCGTTCAACACTGTATTGTCAGTAACCACTGTCCGTTTTAAGCCATGAATACGGTTGAGGAGGAGCAGAATGAGGCGATGTATCGGTGTAGCGCATCCCATTGTCAGGAAGGGAATCTCTTGAGGAAGTACCAAACGGCCAGGCTGTTAGCTCACCCCTCACGGCACACTGTTTACACACAACACTCCCCGTTACTCCTCTATTAATCGTGTGCCATCGATGCGCTCACTGCGACGCCCCATGCAACCTACAGACAGCTCCGCCCTCTCACACACGCTATTACACCGGCGGTAAATCGGTGGTCCATATTAAATAATCGATCTCTGTCCGTTAGTCCGTAATCATATTCATTCAGCCATAACCATAAATACGGTCGTCTGTATCGATATTCATTCGATCGTGTCTGTTCGTTCGTCTCTGCTTCTCGCCCGTATTATTAAACAACAACTTCCCTTTAAGAGGGTCGTCGTGTTTCGACCCGAGTTTTAAACTAAACGAAGTCCTGAGGAACACCGCAGTACAGTACTTAACGGGATGGTGTGGCGGTAAAATTAACTGATTCCAGATTGGAGGATGATACCTGTGGGGCAGTTTGTGGAGTCCTGTTAGGTGATTGGTGGGCATCCTTACACCAGGAAATGTATGTAACTCACTCATTCGTCCACTGTTTGTGTAGATATTTAAGTGTGTGTGTGTGTCTAGGGGGATGAGAAAAACACACACACACACACACACACAGTCACCTTGATGACAGACAGAAGGGGATGCTTAGTCATACTGTGTATAAACGTGGGAGTTTGGTGCATCATGAGCCAGGTGAAAGACATTCATCAGGTAGGTGGCCGCGTGACGCACTTCAGAGCCCAGCCCAGCTCACCGGTCGTGTGAGAGACGCTCGTATGGTGAGATCAACTCGGAATTGGGTGAACGGCCTGGGGGTGTGTGTGTGTGTGTTGACGTCACCTTTAGTACTCTTGGTGGTGATGTTACTGATAGCGGTGCACGGACTTTTATTATTGTGGTGGTGATGTTAGATGGTGTTGACGGTACAGGACGTGTGGTGGTGACGACGACGTTGGTGCATCGTTCTAACCCCTCCCCCCTACACACACACACACACACACACACACACACACACTATAATTCGCCTGACAGCACCGTTTAGAGATTTACATTACAGATAGATGAATAGACATCACAAGTTACATTGACTTAGTTCGTGGATAGATGATGACTGAAGAGACAAGATTATTGATAGATAAATGGGTGGATGAGTTGATAGATAAACCGTGATCTAATTCTCGGCCAAATGGATGTGTAGATCATGGTCCTCTTTCAACCCAACCTCAACCCAACCTCAACCCAACCCACCATGTGTTTTGATATTATTGATGATATTGTTTAAAACAAACTATTTTGTATTTCTCTTCTTATTTGTGATATTTTTTTCTCATAGTGGAGTCACTGTTCCTGTACCCAAACCTTTCTTTGTACAGTTGACAAAAAAAAGTAAAATTACAACACAGTTGACAGTATCGCTCGCCATCTACTTGAGAATCGTGTAGGTCAGGAGGACTGCGATTTTAAACACTTATTTACTCATATTTTTCTTGGTAGTACAGTGTTTTTCTTGTTATTCTGACAAAGTATAAAGTGAAGCAGCGATCACCAACTATAATCCACTCAAGTATGACCCACAAATAGATGCCACACACTGTTAAGTATACAGGTAGTTTTGGCCGCAGGTGGACCAATATTTCTCAATCTAGTCTACAATCTTGGGGTGGTAATACTAACCCGGTTCTTTGTCGAGAGGAACTTGACCTACTTAGCTGAGGTATTCTACAATTATGATCAGTTTGGCAGCATTTTAGGTGGTGGTGATGTTGAGTGGCTGATTTAGTTACTTTCTATAATGGCGGTGTGAGATGCCTCGTCAATCGGCCATGAGGAGGAGAGGCATGACAACGGTGTTTCTCTGTATCATGTCTTGTTGTAGTCGAGATTTATATCCTGTAAAAACTCGTCTTACTATAGTATTTTCACCGTCTGGTTTTTCAGAGGTTGTTACGATTGAATCTTGCTTGTTCTTGAGATGGGAGAAGGATGTGTGTGGTTCTGAGGTAATGGCCTGGGTGACTGACTCTCAAACTGTACTGTGAAATTACGAAATGTTTTCTCGTCCTCTGATGGGTCTAAAGACAACTCACGTGCGAATCTTTGAAGAGAACCTGGAGGCAAGATGTCTTATTGTGGTTGTTGCCTTGCGGAAATTGTCGGTGTGTAAGAGATCAGGTTGACTTTGGCGTGATCTGGCTCGCTGGCGGCAACTAATTATGAGAACACAAGTGCCGTAGAGGGGGTGGCTGGTACTGCCCTTATTACATGTACACCGTCCACCACTCACTGCAACGCTTCTCACTTAATTGAATGTGTGAGAAAGCGAGAGATGACACCTTTTATTGATTGATTGATTCTTTGACTTCTCGATTAAATGCACCGAAGTTATGAGTTTGATTTTTGTGTCTTGGGTTAAAACGGTGTATAGTGCCAGGAAGACTCCAGTAACGGTGTGTAGTGCCAGGAAGACCCCATGGCACCGGGGACTGATGACCTTCAACTGACCAGGTGGATGACTGAGTGAAGTTTGTTTTACCTGGTAGGGATGTGTGGCACTCGTCGCCTACTACAATGGTGGAGGTGGTGATGACATTGGTAGTAAGGAAGGGTGGTGGTCGTAGTGATGGTGGTGGTGTTGTTGGTGATAGTAGTGAGGGTGTGGTCAAGTAGGTAACTGTTTGTGGTTGAGACATTTAACACTTGGTCGCCACTCCCCCTCCCTGACCACCAGCAACAGCGTGATGTCCGAGCTGACGGTGGTGGTGGTGGTTGGGGGTATTAAGACGAGTGTTGAGGGGAGAGGTGTGTCGCCATCCTCACAAGTTCTATGTTTAAGAGAGAGTAATAATAATTTCGATGCGATTTGGGAGACCGTCTGCGTGTCGCTACTTAAATCGATACATCTGTACTTGAAGTGTTCTTAGATATTCCCCTTACCATAACATCATCGTCACCACTTACCTACGTTATTTTGACCATCGCCGTCATTCAGATAGGCCCCACGCAGGCTCGGGGGCTAGTTTATTTACTTTATTAAATTGCACCAATCAGGCTACGTTGGGGTCTGAATTTTTTTATCTGGTGACTGGATGTAGTTCACCAGAAATTAAGAATACGAACTCTGGTTGTGGTACGTCTTGCCATTGCCAAGTATAGCAAGATAATGAAGTGTATACTGTTAACCTGCTCTACTACTACAACCTCTGCTTCTTCTGCCGCTGGTGCTGAAGGCATCGTTGAGCAAGGTATACCAAATCATATGCCGAATGAACCTGTTGCTGCCATACTGCTTCTTGTGCTGGTGATGACGATGGTGGTTCCTGGGTGAGGACGGTCATCACTTGCTAGCTTGAGGGGCGGGTGTCGAGGTGATACACACGTTTGTTAATGCATCTCCGCCATCTGTTCCTTGGTGCCTCCTGGTGATCATTCCTTCCCCCTGCGTGTTCTCTCTCGTCTCTTGCGTTTTTACTCGTCTGTTGTGTACTCCATTCCTCCTCCTCTTCCATGCTTCCATTTTGATGTTTGTTTTACTCCCCCTGTTCCTCTATTTATTCCGTGTTTGATCTATCTCACTCCACACCACGACCCTCCACACCATTCCACTACCTCGCCCTTTCATTCTACTCCACACCTTGCCCTTGCACCTCAATCCATTCCTCCCACCCCTCGACCTCACTCCACACCTCGTACCTCCACCACCTCGTCCCTCCACCCCACTCCACCCTCCACACCTTACGCTCCTCCACCTCTCGTCCTTCCACCTCACTCCACACTAAGCCCCTCCATCTAACTCCACACTTAGCCCCTCCACCTAACTCCACACCTCGGCCTTCCACATTCTCCACCCCACTCCACCTCCCACCCCTCCATTCCACTCCACTTCCCACACCTCCATTCCACTCTACCTCACTCCACACCTCGCCCCTCCACACCCTGCTTGTGGCCTGCTCTACTGCTCTACTTGCTGCCACACACTCCACCCACCCAGCTTGGAGAGAGAGAGAGAGAGAGAGAGAGAGAGAGAGAGAGAGAGAGAGAGAGAGAGAGAGAGAGAGAGAGAGAGAGAGAGAGAGAGAGAGAGAGAGAGAGAGAGAGAGAGAGAGAGAGAGAGAGAGAGAGAGAGAGAGAGAGAGAGAGAGAGAGAGAGAGAGAGAGAGAGAGAGAGAGAGAGAGAGAGAGAGAGAGAGAGACACATATGGGTACAGTCTTGCAGTCTAATTTTGAAACCATTTTTGGAGTTGATTATATTCGTGTCCCTTTTGTGGTTACCTGCTCTCTCCTCTCCTCCCTCCTACTCCCTCCCTCCCCTCCCTCCCTCCCACTCCTCCTCCTCCTCTCCCTCCCTCCACCTCCCTC